GTATATTATATAGTAACTACTACATAGAAAAGAGGGTGCCAGGTAACTTCTGTAGATTTGAAAAAAAGGTTTTTGGAAGGCATATAAATGCCAGGCGAGAGCAGTACCACCACAGTTTTTCTCAGTGGATAATGGAAACAGAAAACATGGTATTGTGTATTCAAGAGGCATGAGTGAAGTGAAGGGCATCCAGATCCAGAGAAGGGGAGTGAGCTGCTTCAGATCCCAGAACGCCATGCACGGAAACCTGTGATCTTTCCAGGAGAACGCTTCTGGGATTGAACCATATTCACAAATTTAAAGGGAAGTCAATTTCTAGGTAATAAAGGAACACATACCTTCTCGCCATTGGAACTTTCCTTAAATAGAATGAACTGCTAAGCTCATAGTATAGGGAAAGGCCAAAACTGAGGTTGGAAGACAATCTCTTAAGAACCCGAGAGAGACGAGGCACAATAATTCACGTAGATGGCTTCACAGTCCACGCCAGTCCTAATTCTCTTCTGTCACTGGAAACTCATTCCCTTTGGGTAATTTCCTCAAGGTGAGTCACAATATAATACAAGTCACTGCATTAACCACGGTCATCTTCCCTCTGAAACCTCCATTTATCAGTGTTGAATGAATTAGGGGTATTTCTAAAAGATTAACTGCATGAAATCTAAATCTCCAAAAAATTCTAGGTCTGAAAAGAAAAGAGTTCAGATTCTAGCTTTGTCACTTGACTATATGACCTTGAACAGATCACACTTTCCCTGGATCTCAGATGAACTCCTATTTGGAGCACTACTCCCCACTGCCCCCAGCCTTTCTGTTGTTTTCACACCCCCTGTTGGTGGTGGTGGTGGTGTGGGGAGTCCACAGTGGCCGAGTGGCTCTATGGTTTTCCGGGGTAAGGGCCACGGATGTCTAATGTCCCCCAGTGTCACAGTACTTCTCACCCACCCAGCTCCATTTGGAAAATGTTGGTTAGAGGAATTACAAATTCTTTCCAGGGCCAAATTTTGTGAGATTTATCTGTTAAAAACTGGTCATTAGCAACAGGTCTTCCTACCTAAAACACAATGAACTATCATTTCCTCTCTATCCTAAGTAGTTAGTAATACAGTCCACAACCAAATACTTAAAATTTAGGATCACCAGGAAAGATTTAAAACAGGGAAGAAAATACCTATTTTTTGAATGCATGATTATCGAAAGACTTGCTTCAATAAAATTCAAATGATTAGATGCTGACACTCCATCCACTCCAGACTCTGCAAGTGGAGACGCATGTCCTTCAGTGTATTTCTCAGTCTCTACCAGAGAAGACTTAGGTATTTAGTTGGTCATTCGGTACATTTTCATCAAGAGTAAAATATCACTTCACTTAAATCACCTATCAAGAATATCTGGTGTTAGAAGGAAAAGGTTAAAGAATATCTAAAACATTAACATTTGTAAAGACCTCTAAGAATTGATTCAAAACATTTAACTTTGATTAAGAAAGATGAACAACTTTTGGCTTTGGGACTTAATAAATTATGTATTTTTTATTCTTTTAATCATTATTATTTTACAAAATTTTCTTTCTCTCTCTCTGTCACACACACACACAATCAAGTTTTGGGAAACTTTGGGCTTTAATCACCTGGGACATCTCCATGCACAGAGCTTCTATGCACACAATGGCTAGCAATTAAAGGACACTGTGTTTTTGCCATGCTAGATTGTTGATTACATGCTTTAAGACTCAAAGACGTATTTTTTAGCCCAATCTCTGGTCCCAATATTTCATTACAGCAAACATGATTTTATCCCAGTGGAGCCACCAGCACTGATCTCCAGAAACACAGACTGCTCAGCAGAATTTAGTACACCCTTCCCCAGGAACAGTGAGGACAGTAACAGTGTACATGAACGAGGAGCTCACTCATGATTAGCGTTCTGGAGATCTTTCATTCTGAAGCACAGAAATTATTTTTTTGAGTGTTTTCATTAGGGCTTTTACCAGAAATTATTCATAGGACTATTACATAAAACAGTATTTTTACAACATAGAAGGAAACACTTAAAACCTGAGACTCTTTATGTTTACGATATAAAATCTCCAGAAAAAAAGGGTGTTTATGTGAATTTAATGGCCTACAAAACACTCAAGGACCAATTTTCGTTAATCCAGGATCAAAACATCCCTAAAAGAATTCCTTAAAAACAAACAAAAGCCCTCCTTTTCTCAAAGCCAATAAATACCAGGGAATCCTTACTGCCACTGGATGTCACTTCATGATTTCTTATAAATTACTAACAAACTCTCTAAAGTAATGTAAGTGTCGGGCGCCTGGGTGGCTCAGTTGGTTAAGCGACTGCCTTCGGCTCAGGTCATGATCCTGGAGTCCCGGGATCGAGTCCCACATCGGGCTCCCTGCTCGGCAGGGAGTCTGCTTCTCCCTCTGACCCTCTTCCCTCTCGTGCTCTCTCTCTCTCATTCTCTCTCTCAAATAAATAAATAAAATCTTAAAAAAAAATAAATAAAATAAGTGTCAAAAATACAGAGTTTTTTAAATGTTAAACAAGAAAATCAGATAAAAGAAGGCCAATCCACAACAAATTACTTCTTAATTTCCTGAAATTATATGGATAATTTACCAGTTTTTATGCAGGATGTGAAGAATGGATCAATCGTTCTAAATATAATTCCTCTAAAGCATCTGATACAGAAATGGGAGAGGCTGCTGTCTGAAGGAGGGGAATGAAAACGTCAAGCTTACACAGAGCTGTATCTTCCATTTCAAAATGTCAGAAGACATCGGTCAATGTGACCTAAGCTAAACATGGGTAAATACTTTAATACAGATTTGGGAAATACAGCAGAGCAAAGCTCACCACCATGAAAATAACCTACCGTTTGTTTGTGTCTGCACCACTCCGAGGGTCAGAGAGAGGACAGTTTATAGTTTTTTGGCAGAGATAAAACACAATCCACTATGGAACCTGAGATTTCAAGGAGGCTCCCTCAAATTCAGCAGCTAGCAGCTTGTCTCTATTTGCTGTCACTCCAGATCAGAGAAGCCCACACTCTCTCCTCTCCTGCCCCCACCCAGTCACACTTGAGCTCTCGGACTGAAAAGGTCTGGAACAGATTAAAAGTCGGGCCACAAAATAAAAAGCTCTGGCATGTTATCAAGCCTGTCTGGAATACACACACACGGTGGGCCCAAAAAGGGAAACTCAAGGCAGTAAGAGAATTTTATGAAACTTTTTTTTGGCATACCTAATTGTATGTTTGCGTGTACATAAGTGCTAAAGGGAGGGTGGGAGAATTTCTTTTCTTTTAGTACTTTTTCTCATTTAAAACAAAAGACCAAGCTGTGTGTGTAATTAATGGATCTACTGAGGATCAGAGCCAAGTTGTTTTATTTCACTATTTTAATGGAAAGTACTTACACAAAAAAACAAAACAACTTTGTTCCAATTCCTGATTTCTGCAGTTAGCTAAGAGTTAATCATCATCTTTCATAACCTTATGTTGGGGGAAGAAAAACCCACAGACCATTTAAAAAAATTTCCAAAATGTGGACAAGCTGATCCATTTCCTTAAAGATGATTTAAGGAAACATGGTGGTTGTCATTCCAGTCCATACAAATGGCAGCATTTATCAAATTCTCTACCTTACTTGGTTTCCTATTTCAACCACAAGGGCTTATTCAAGTATTAAATAAAATCTAAAGTTGTAAATTATTAACATGCCACATTAGTTTTTTAACACCCAAACAGATCTGGAAGCTCAAACGGCTAGCATTTAAGCCAAACTGGACATCTGTCACAATGATGGTCTCTGCCCTGACCCCACCTCTGACTTCACTTGAATAGGGGGTTCCGTCCGTCCACAGCTGCTTGGGCAGCGAGGGGCAAACCCACACGCTGGGGTGTGATAAAGCTAACACACACACACACGGAGCAGAACTGTTCACAGTGTTTCTGACGGGGACGTTATCTGACCCAACCACAGTCAGGCAGAGTTTTCTCTTTTGTCCCCCAGGACTGTGTTTGGAAGGCCTTCACAGAGTTAATTCCTCTTTCCCGTAAGGGCCCCGCAGTTGTTGTGAGGTCAGCCCCTCTAAAGCTTCAAAGGTTCGCCGTCCCCTCCGTCTGACCTACTCAGTGAGTGCACACTGTTTTCATTTAGCTGCATCCAGTCCAAGACGAAAACTTCAAAACCACAATACTCTGCTCCTTTCAGATTCATTTTTCCATGGCTTTGGAAGAGTACCTCGGAAACTGAGAAAAGTGGAAAATATGGATAAAAAGGCATGACAGAGCTGGTACACGATCATCAAAATGTGTACATATGTGGAGAGTATTCTTTCGTGCAAATGGGGATTTAGTCACGCGATTTGGAGCGGAAAATGGCTTTGCTTTTTGTTTCCTAAATAAAAAACTGAGGATCTTTCCAAAGGAAAAAAAAAAAAGCAAGCCAGAGTGAGAGGAGAAGGGAGAAACGCGTTCCCTGGTCGATCTCGAGGGCGATGGCCCCCCTCCCAACAGAGGACCGCAAACACGACACCGTCCCGTACAGGACAGTGCTCACTGCTCCCTGAAGTCGAGCAGAAGCACACACGGGGTCACGGACAAAAGCCAGCACCCCAGTTGTCCCCACAGCCTGACAGCCTGGTGATTAGTGCGGCCAGAAAGACCATTTTAAACAAGATCACGATGTCTCCCAAAAATGTGAAAGGAACAGCGACTCTGGTCAGTAAGCCACCACAACATTCCCCCAACCCCACCCCGAGGAGTCCAAGCTACAAAGCTCATTTACATCTGCATTTCTAAGTGTCAAGGGAAAGGAATAAAGAGAGGTATAAAAATAGTCCTGGAAAAGCTGGGTGGGCAGTCATTTCTTTAATACTGTAAAGCAATGCAATTTTATTTCAGTGAATCTTCCCAGAGTCACACATACACACACACACACAAACATGTTATCAAAAATATCTAAAAAGGTTTTGAGATGAACCTTTACCAAAACGAGGGTCAAGCCTTGGGTCTAGCCAAGAGGTGGTCTTGTTCTTATGGTTTATATAGTATATCTCTCCATCCTGAGTCACGGCTTGCTCCCATCCATCAGGAAGAGGACCTATAAATACAGAAAAAACAATCACGGTTGGTTTGATATGGTGCAGCTAAAAAAAGTGGGAAGGTGCTAATTTATAAAGAAAACAGGTGACAAAACAATTTTTTAAAACAGAATTAAGCATGTGTTCAGAGAAAAGTAAACCTATATACCTGATTCTTCTTCACTTCGTAAAAGAAACTACTAATGAATAAAATCTATACAGAGAGACACAGACAGGAAAAAAAAGAGTCATGAAAAATCCTTTTGGAAGTCGTGACCCAAATAACCATCATCACTATTAATTTGCCACATTCAGTGCCATGGCTCAGGGATGGCCCTCCATCCAGAGTTTGGGGACAATGCCTTCCTACAGATGCCAAGGCTCTTCAACAAGGAAGGCAAACGTCTTCAGAACACGTGAAGTGCTGTACACATTGTTTCATGTAAAGCATACTTTGGCTAAGTCAGCCAAGCTGCATTTATCCCCAGGATTTATGGGACTGGCTCTCACCAAGAAAACTGCCATACAGAAAACTCTATTCCAGAAAAGGCTTATTTTCAGGCAGCCCAGAAGCTGCGGGGGCGGGGCAGGGGGGTGCTGAGCGCCAAGTCCGACATGGGCTTGCAGAGGGCAGGGGGAGTTTGGAGCTGTCAAAGGCCCACTTCTCAGGAAGAACGAGGAGAGAGACAACTTCAAAGCCGCAGAGTGAGGGAGGACAGAAGAACATGGTAATTCTAAGCAGACATTCGAGTGAATGCCCAGGATTTTTCCATCTGTGGATCCACACGAACTGAGCGCCTCCTGGGTGCTGGACACTGCCCGAAGTAGATGATGTGCATCAACTCATGTGACCCTCACAACCGCCGATGGCCTATGCGGTGGTCGTCCCTCCTTTCTCACGGGACGCAGACGCACGGGGGCTCCGTGAGCCCAACACCGCACAGCCTGTGTCAGAGGGCACTCAGACCCGGCAGCTGGGAGCCTGAGCCACCGCTGCTCCTCACGAGGCTCCTTCTCAGCCATTGCCCACCCCACGACGAGGTCCTACGGATGCTGCCTATGCGCAACTGGACTGGGTTCCTTATTCCTAAACTGGCAGTCCAGGCCAGACGTAGGAGTGGTGCTGAGTAACTCTTACACAAAACACTCACAAAGGCCCGTGGGACCCAAAGCCCTCATTCCAGGCCAGTTTCCTTTGTTTCAGAAACTGACCAATTCGCTACTATCCCGCTGTCCAAGGTCTGCCTTGTTAGGAAACGCAGACACATGAAGCTGGAGGGCTCTGCGCTCCTCGAGGGGCCCTGGGGAAGCCCCTCCTGCCGTCCTACCTGTGGCGTTCTGTCCACAATGAAAGCCAACCGCGTCCAGAGCTGAAATTTGCCAGAGCAACCCCATATTTACTAACAGGTGAGTGGGAAGCAAATTCGTTTAACACATAGAGATGGGATCCCTTTTCTCGGCAGCATTCACTGTCACTTGGGCTCTTTCACTACCAGGAAAACAGATCCCCCATGACTGAATACGAATGCTTGGGTATGACCTTTAACGGGGAAGCCGGCTGAACGGACAACTGACACGCTAAGTCCCTGAGATACCCTGACGACGAACAAGTCAACAGCAGTCGTGGGATGGCTCTGAACACCTCCATCAACACCAGCACATTCCTTTACAGCCTCCAAACCTGCCTTTTTTAGCGGTACTGCTGTCCACCTTGGCTGCCTGCGTCAGAACCCAGAGCAGTGTCCTGGAGGCAAAGCAGCCGGCCCGTCCTGTGGATGACACGCACCTTCTCTCTGACCCCTCGGCTCCAGGGCATCACTAAGGACGCCGCCATCAGGAGGCACAGCTCCCTGCCCCGAGCCGGCAGAGTGTCCTTCCTTGGTGCCTGGCTTCTCCTCACCTGTCGTCACCGCAGCGTCCCCCACCAAACAGCCACCAGGGCTTTCTTCTTAAAATACCATCTCAGCAACTCTTCTACGTAACTTGTTACTTGTAAAAGCGGTTCCTTTCCTCTCCACATCAAAAGGAAAATGCCGGCTGGACTCATTTCTTAACAGGTGTTCTTCACACACCGAACCCCGTCCCCCCACTTCTCACAAAACCAAGCCACCTTTTTGTGTTTGTTGCTCCTCTTACACAGACATCCCTTGACCCCGACCCTTATAAACTCATATCCATCCTGCAAGAAGCTCAGATGTCAGCTGCTCCAGTCAGCCTTCCGAGTTTTGTCTTTTACACCGTGGGAACATTTACCGATCGAGCCGCAATGCCCTGCACACACGTGCGTCCTCCTGGCAACGAGCAGCGCACTTGTGTTTGCACGCACGGGCGGGCTGTGTCTGAGGAGCTGCTCAACAAATATTTAAAGAAACAATGAAGGCCCTGCCTGTGACAGTTCGAACTGTCTATAGATAAGCTTAAAATCATGTAGTACATACATTATTTTCAATTGATGTATTTATAAACAGAATAATAAATGACATAAATAAATAAACAAACACAGTGCCTTTTGTTCCTTAAAGTTTTGGGTCATAAATGTATTCATTTTCAGTTCTTTTTTAAAAATATTAAAAATTACAGAAATGCAGAATAGAAAAAGCCTAAGTTTTTTGTGACCTACTCCTCAGGGAAAATACTAAACAACTTCAGTTTCGTGCCATGTTCTGGATTCCTTCCTTGTGCATGCGTCTCTACAGCGCAGGCATACCCACTGATGTCATGCTCTACCGGGCCCACACTTGCTTCATTCACTTAACAGATTATGGGCATCTCTTCTTGACATAAATCTCTTTCCTTTTAATATCTTCATATATCTTACTGTACAGGCAAAGCTCTGAGTTGTCGTGGGCTCGGTTCCTCTAGAATAAAGTGAGCCAAATGAATTTTGGGGTTTTTCCAGTGCATTTAAAAGTTATCTATATACCACACTATTAAAGTGTGAATTAGCATCATGTCTGAAAAAATAATTTACATACCTTAATTTGAAAATAGTTTATTGCTAAAAAAATACTATCATCTGAGCTTGCAGTGAGCCATCACCTCTCTGCTGGTGGAGGGTCTTGCCTCAGTGCTGAGGGCTGACGACCTATCGGGGCGGCAGCAGCTGAAGGCTGGGGCGGCCGCAGCAAGTTCTCAAGACAACAATGCGGTTGGCTGCGCGGATCCACTCTTCCTGTCAGGAACGAGTTCTCTGCAGCACAGGAGGCTGTTTGCTAGCGTTTTACCCACAGTAGAACTTCTTTCCAAACTGGAGTCCATCCTCTCAAACCTGCCGTTGCTTTTTCACCAAAGCTGACGTAACATTCTGAGTCCTTTGCTGTCATTTCAACAATCTTCACAGCACCTTCACCAGGAGATTCCCTCCCAAGAAACCACTGTCTTTGCTCATCCACGAGAAGCAACTCCTCATCCGTTCAAGTTTGATCACGAGATGGCAGCAGATCAGCCCCATCTTCAGGCTCCACTTCTGAACCGGGTTCTCTTGCTCTTTCCACCCCGTCGGCAGCGACTTCCTCCCCTAACACGTTGAACCCCTTCAAAATCATCCAGGAGGTTTGGAATCAACATCATCCCAAATTCCTGTCCATGCTGATATCGTGATTTATATTTGGTATCTCATGAATCACAATGTTCTTAATGGCATCTACAATGGCGAGTCCCTTCCATTTACTCTGCCCAGATCCACGAGAGGAACCACTGTCTATGGCAGCTACAGCCGTACAAAATGTATTTCTTACATAGTAAGATGTGAAAGTCAAAACGACTCCTGGATCCATGGGCTGTGGGCACGAGAACAAGATGCACCTCACTGTCCGTCTCCATCGGAGCTCTGGGGTGACCAGGTGCATTGTCCATGAGCAGTAATATTTTGAATAAAATCTTTTTTGTTCTGAGCAGTTGGTCTCAACAGACTTAAAATACTCAGTAAACCACAGTGTCGACAGCTGTGCCCTCACCCAGGCTTTGCTGTTCCATTTCTAGAGCAGAGGCAGAGTCGATGGAGCATAATTTAATGTATAAAGGCCCGAAGAATTTTCGGAGTGGTCAATGCCAGTGGCTGCAACTGACAGTCACCAGGTGCATTAGCTGCTATCGAGAGAGTCAGCCTGTCCTTTGAAGCCAGGCACTGACTTCTCCTCTCCAGCTATGGGAGCGCTGGACGGCACCTTCTTCCCACAGAAGGTTGTATTGTCTGTGCTGAAAATGGGCTGTGATCTCAGTGGGATCTTCTGAATCGCTTTGCCCACATGTCCATGGTTCCTTAAACCTCACAAACCAACTTCCTCCAGCTGCTGGCCTTTCTTCTGCAGCTTCCCACACCTCCCTCAGCCTCCACAGAACTGAAGAGAGTCTGGGCCTTGCTCTGGATTTGGTGTGGGTTTACAGGAATGTGGTCTGACCTTCTATCCAGACTGAAACTTTCTCCCCGTCGGCAATAAGCCTGCTTGGCTTTCTCATTTGTGTGCTCACTGGAGTAGCACTTCTCATTTCCTTCAAGAACTTTCCTTCACATTCACAACGTGACTGTTTGGCACAAGAGCCCTAGCGTTCTGCCTATCTCGGCTTCGACAAGCCTCCCTCACTCTGGAGGCTCCATCTTCCTCACTCTGGAGGCTCCATCATCTCTAGCCTTTGACTTCAAGGGACATGAGACTCCTGTTTCCCGTGAACACTCAGAGGCTGTGGTGGGGTCACCAACTGGCCTGCCATCACTACGGAGGGAAGGGCGGGCAACAGGGGGATGGCCAGTCGGTGGGGCAGTCAGCACACAGAGCATTTATTAAGCTTGCTGCCTGACATGTGCACGGCTCACAGTGTCCTGAAACATCAAAGATCACGGACCACAGATCACCGTAACAAGTATAGTGACGAAACTGTCGGGAATATTATGAGAACTGCCAAAATGTGACACAGAGACACAACATGAGCAAATGATGTTGGAAACCTTCAGTTTGTACAAAACACAGTCTCTGAAGAGCTGTGACGTAGAACACATTAGAATTCATGTACCCTCTGCCAG